TCAGTGGGAGGAATAGTGTCCCATCATTGGTATCAGTGGGAGGAATAGTGTCCCATCATTGGTATCAGTGGGAGGAATAGTGTCCCATCATTGGTATCAGTGGGAGGAATAGGGCCCCATCATTGGTGTCAGTGGGAAGAATAGGGCCCCATCATTGGTTTCAGTGGGAGGAATAGTGTCCCATCATTGGTATCAATTGGATAAATAGTACCCCAACGTTGGTATCAGTGGGAGGAATAGGGCCCCATTGTTGGTATCAGTGGGAGGAATAGGACCCCATTGTTGGTATCAGTGGGAGGAATAGGACTCCATTGTTGGTATCAGTGGGAGGAATAGGACCCCATTGTTGGTATCAGTGGGAGGAATAGGGCCCCATTGTTGGTGTCATTGAGATGAATAGTGCCCTATGAGACCACCTACAGCAAAATGGTTGCCGTTGCTGGACCACTGCTCTATCCCATGCCACAAAAGGACTGCAGTTCATTTCACCAAACTACAATAGCACTTAAATCCCAATTGTAGATTATGGGAAAATTATGTAAATGAAATCAGGGTGGCTCAAATTAGTAAGTGATCATTGTCATGATTTTATTTTTGTAACCCTCCTCTAGCCCCAGCAGAAAACTCCTACACTTGGCAGTGTGCTGCAGAGGCAAACGGCTGCTCTCATTGTCCTCTTACATGCCCCAACATGCCCCCTGCTGACCTATGGCATTGCATTCAGCAGGGAGCCTGAGATCATACATGCAGATCTTCCGGAGGACAAAAGAAATTATGCAGATTGACTGCACACATGCAGAGATTTCATCGTCATGCAACCGGTTCTCCCAACTTGCCCAAAAGATATTCAGGATTGTAGTGACTTCTTGATCCACTGCCAATGCCTGGCCATTCCAGTTTCCAGAAAATATGAAAGTCATTTACTAAAGATAAGGAGAACCAGAATGTCACACCATTGGGCTGTGCAGGTGCATTCCTATGTGTGCACATACATGACATACCTGGTTCAGAGGCGTTTGCACGACCACTCCCCCAATTATCTCCATCTTGTATGGGACTGATGTATTTTTCTCTGCAGTGCCTGTAGATCCTGTCTCAGACAATGAAGCGCAACCTGGTCGGGGGACCTGAAAGAAGAGAACAATCTAGGCTTATAGAAAGAAAGGTATCCACACCCCGGAGGACGTGATCGTTACCTGTAGAAAAGATGGTTGTATGGCCTTTCGATTGAACCGTTCTTTTAGTTTTAATCATAGACATCAACAGCATGAGGTTAGGAAATAATTGGCAGCTCCCTGGGTCATTTATTACAAAGCCCGGGCCACCTAACTCCTTGACGTCACCAAAAGCAGCTGACAACCGAGGAAGCCTGCATGCCCACCAGCCAGCACACGATAGGGTCCTATTCCTCCCACCCGCTACTGATTTATCAAAATTCATGAGGAGAAAAGAAATATGTCATTTTAAACTGTACTTTACACTGGTCATGTACAACAGATTTTATATGTGGATCATTTGATTACTATCCTGTTACAAGACTAATGCACTCTCTGATCTCCTCTCCAGCTGCTTCTGAGGGGTGAAGGGGCAGGAACTGGGTCTGATCAAAGGGGTGAAAGTACAGGAATTGGATCTGACTTGAGGGGTGAAGGTATTGGGGCTGATCTGAGGTGTGAAGGTGCAGGAATTGGGGCTGATCTGAGGGGTGAAGGTGCAGGAATTGGGGCTGATCTGAGGTGTGAAGGTGCAGGAATTGGGGCTGATCTGAGGGGTGAAGGTGCAGGAATTGGGGCTGATCTGAGGTGTGAAGGTGCAGGAATTGGGGCTGATCTGAGGTGTGAAGGTGCAGGAATTGGGGCTAATCTGAGGTGTGAAGGGGCAGGAATTGGGGCTGATCTGAGGTGTGAGGGTGCAGGAATTGGGGCTGATCTGAGATGCTGAAGGGCTGTGTACCACAATCAATGTGTTTATCGTCTCATCAGCAGTACAACTATGACTGCAAACATTGAAAGGTAAGACTACAATGCACTATTGTTCACTGGCACACAGGTTGTCCAATACCTGTAAAAATGGCCCTCGATGTGGAAAAGGATTGCTGAGCTACAAAAGCACACTTTGTTTGTACCTTCTGTACCTCTGGTGATGTGTTCCCTGACTATACGCACGTTTAAGGCATTTCAATGCTGCTTCTGTTACACCATAAAACAGTAACAAAATTGAGAACAGAGAACTGTGGAGTCACTTTCACATTGTGGTGTGAAGAAGATCGAATTCCACCTGTGCCCTTCCTGGGATAATGTGAAGATAGTAACACATTGGCCAACAAGAGACATTTAGGGCGGTGGGTCAGGGGGCACGGGGGATAAAATTCTGACTCCACTGTCTAAAAAAACCGCAGAGAATGAATCTGCCCTTGGCACATTTTCTTGCTTCTTCAGCTACATTTACACACGAATGTGTTAATCACCAGTGACTGAGCTCCAACCAGACAACAATTACACAATTCTGGACGCCAGCCCAATTCTCACAGAATAATTAACTCTATCTGAATATAAAGCAGAAAGGACGTATGCCCTGCAGCCAGGCTGCCTCCCACATATAAATACAATGAATTACCTCTTCTTACTCACACAATTCACAACTATGACAGGCCAATGTTGCTTCTATACATAGTTTTTTCTTTGCCTACATTGGGATGAGTAAAGGACAACAATATAGAATAATGTGCAGGTTGCAGTTATCAACGCCAACCCATTGGATTTCTTCTTCCAGGAATCTGATGGGTGTATACTGATCTTAAGAAAAACATATTCATAGAGGTTCTGGGAATTTGCAGACTTGTAGGTGGAGTCAGGTGAGGAAAAAACTTCAGGCAAGCTCAATAGACCTATTGAGGTGGCTCTCAATGGGTACCCAATGGTGGCTGAAACCATAGAGCACCAGTCCAAGAAATGGATACACGATACAGAAAGAACCAGACCAAGAAACGGATGCAAGATACTGAAAGTACCAAGCCAAGAAAAGATGAGTCCAAGATCATTTTAATTGTTGATAAATAGATCATACAAATTAATCAACATGCATCAGGAACCAAACCACCCCACCTTCATCGGGGATCAACACAGGATAATTGTCCATCAGTGTTAAGATATTGTGAAAGAAGTCAACCAAACCTTTTATCTACTAGAAGTCTAAAAATAGTTTTCATTATTGGCTTGAGTAAGCACCAAAACACAGACTGCTATCTTCAAGGGCCCTGTGGGCTGCACAATAAGTGCCAAAGGGCCACATTCACCCTCCACAATCCGTGTACCCATCGCACTCAGAGCCGCTGCTCCAAAAATGGAAGGTGGGTGCAGCAGGTTTCAGCGGGTGGCTTCCGACAAAATATAAGTAAAGGATGGACACCGTCACTCCAAAGCAAGTTCAGTACGTGTTTATTAAGTAGTTGCAAGTAGAACACTCTAAACAACGTTTCGGAGTCTCACAGGATCCCCTTCATCTGATGGTTGGGGTCCTCCAAACCACCGTCCATGCCTCACTGACTACCTGACCTGTACGGTCTATACTTTGTAATGGCCTTCAATGTGAATACTTCTGACCGTACAGGGCAAGGATGGTGGTTTGGATGACTATCTGACTCGTGTCCATGTGTTTCTGTATCACCTATGCAGTATCTCATGGATGCAAGTAGTAAAATATCTCTTCCAAATCCCAGAGTCTCACAGGATCCCCTTCATCAGATGAAGGGGATCCTGTGAGACTCCGAAACGTTGTTTAGAGTGTTCTACTTGCAACTAGTACGTTAATAAACATGTACTGAACTTGCTTTGGAGTGCCGGTGTCCACCCTTTACTTACATTCACCTGCCAGACCCCCCACCCCGGTTGGGCATCAGGGTCTTAGATCCTAGACCCGAGCTGTACAGGGCTCTCACATCCCGCCCCTTATCGGAAGGGTGCAGGTCTTAATATATATTAACATGGCCATAGGTTGAGGCATTGTGTAGGATCCATGGGGGCACCATAGGGATCAGGTTGAAGACAAGCCCGGAACTTGCAGAAAGCACCTCAGCATTGTAGATTGTAGTTATCTCAGAAACATTTAAAGCCAAGTTAGGTTTACTAAAAAAAAAAAAAAA